ATTCGGCAATCTAGACGAAGATTCAATGTTTGCTGCCCATATACCTCCAGAGACGGAATGACAACATCAATCAAGAAAAATGTTCAAATGATCCAAGGTAAGTCGTGACAGTGGCGGACGACGGATGGGATGTCACAAGGTTTTAATTGATCTAACCAGGTCTGTGCGGATATTGTGTGTGTTTTAATATATTAGGGGCGTTAGTTGCGAATCTATTGAACAGCATTTATTTACTTCAACTTCATCACCATTGGATTATTCTTTTACGGACATCAGACGAAATTCGGCTCAGTGACTTTTTATTATACCAAACATGTCATGGCTGTCAAATACAATTCATTGATTGCTACGGGCCGCAATTCTCTCTTTGGAAACTATTGCCTATTTTATTAGAATATCAAATTTACGGGGACTCTACGCATCAGTGATTTTGGAATTTTAATAGTAATGTATGGTAGCTTGGGGCATCCTCTGTATTTGAAGTTTAGCGCTTTGGACCAAGTGGATTTTTGATAGTGTAGTGGATTCTCGTGCATTGAACTGGATTTTTTTTTTTTTTTTTAGTATTAGTATGACAATGTCTATAATATAGTTACGTAGTTATTCCCTTTAGAATAGTCTTATTATCTGTTTTGTTTTATTTATTTATTAGCTGAATAAATCATGTTGGTCAAAAACGCTCACGCGGACTGTGGTCACTACTGATTTGTAATAGTTGATGTGTTTCGCCTCAAAATAAAATAATAATAAAAAAAAACACCTCTGCTCGAGATTTTGTTGAAGTGTGTGTGGGAATAGTTGTTGGTCATGGTGGGGATCAAGGGTTGAATATAGTGGTGTTGGTGGAAAAATTAAAGTTACGATGGGAACTAGACATTAGCTACTATGATTGGTTTCTCTAGGAGCAAAATATATGTAGGTGTTGATTACAGTGGGTAATTGGTTTTGACGACGTCCTTTCACGAAATATCTTTATGCAAAAATAAAATCTGTCTGCATTAACAAGAGCATTCTTAGGCAAAACGTCACATACATCATTTGATCGGTCAAGCAGTGTCAAATTTAAACACATTTCGTGCAAGTATTTTTTTTATATCCGGATATCAATAGTCTGGCGCTATTTGATAATCAAAGTGAAATGCACCAAATGTTATTAAACCACCCGCAGGCAACTTATTACCATTTTCGCTTTTCCAAAAATACCCGCCTAGTCAGTTATGATTACTGATATATCCTATCCAGCTTTCCCGAGAATACATTCAAATCGCCTCTAGTACCTGTCACCCAGCTTCCTTCGTATTTCGCCATCACAACCCACCCATTTTTCTTCCCTATTTCATTTGTAGGCACCGAGAGCTACTGTAACCACTGTAAAACATTTTTTATTGGCCAACCCATCAATTTTTATTTACAATAACAAGTCAAGAATAAAAGTAAATGGGAAGTGGGAATGAATCAGGTCTAAAATATTAACAATACTGAAATCTAAATCTATTATCTAATAAACTAGTATATTTCAGAGGAGTCCCAGCAAAACCGGTGAGTCTGGAACTTGTGTACATCATCTAGCAAATCCATATCCTATTAGGCAAAAAAAGAAATATCAGAAAAAAAAAACCCTCCCCTCCGTCAAGCTGATTTTGTTTCTGTCATACCTTTGAGGACAATTCAATATCCCAAACTGTTGCATTTTGTTGTACCCGTTGTGGTGAAGTGGATTTGGGAATAATTGCCCAACCATGTTGAATCGCCCATCGTAAAAGCACTACAGCTTCGGTTGTTGCTTGCTGATACCTTGACGAAATTTCCTTCAATCCATTGATACAAACCGTTCCGTCGATAAGTTTGCCTTCGCCTAGGCTTGAATACGCTTGGATTTGAATGTTATGGTTCTTGCACAGGTCCAATATCTCGGGTTGGTGGAGGCATGGATGGAGTTCAAATTGATGGAGGTGAGGGACAATCGTACAATGATCCAAAAGATGTTGCAAGTGACCTTTGGTATAGTTGGATATGCCAATCTGCTTGACTTTGCCTTCGTTATAAAGCTGTTCTAATGCACGGTAACTTGCCATTCGATTTTCTTGGTTTCTCGGATCAGATAATTTGGTTTTCGATGTACTATAAACATGATGAGCAGAAAAAAAAAAAAGTTAGAGTGAGTATGATCAGTGACTACTAGACATTGTCAATGAAGGTGGTGGTACCTGTTTTAAAAAAATCATTACCCTGGCCAGTGAATCAAGTAGAGATCGATATAGTCTAATTGGAGTCGATTAAGTGAATCAATGACAGCTGATAAAAAAAGAAATTGCGTTTATTATCCATATAGTCTTGTGTTGAGTGTCCCAGTTTGCTTATTTTACCTTGGTAACATTTTTCATATCCTTGATGTTGCGGCGCTATGGAATAATATAGTATATAATAAAGGAGTGAGACAAGAGGGTAAAATAGTGGAGCAAAAGAACATACATAATTTTGAGGTGATAAAGAGATCCTTTCGTTGGACTTCATACGAAGCATCCGCGAAGATACGTTCTAGGATAGTTCCAAGTGCAGCTTCATTTTTATAGACCTCAGCTGTGTCTAAAATAACAACAATGGTAAAAGGTTAACTATAAAGCGGAGAGATATGACAATGATCTATTTACCTATTAGTCTATAGCCTGATCGGATAGCTTGAGTTACCACTGGCTCAAGTTGTTCTACTGTTTTCATTCTATACGTGCCCACTGTCAAGCGGAAAACATCAAAAGAATAACACCAAGTAAGTCTATTTTTCTTTTCCTTTTGATAGGGTCGGTCATTGATCAACTTACAGCCAAGAGCGGGAATATGGTTACCATTATGAAGTTTATAAGAGTTGACTGTCATGAATACAACAAAATGAAAAAAAAAATGGGGAAGATAAACATGCAAAAATAAAATTGATTGGCTGAGTTGCAATAACACAAATTCAAATTGGGGTCGCTCCCTCATTTTCTTTTTTTCCTTTTTCTTCACTTTTAAACTTTTTGGCACTCGACTTATTTATTTTTATCATCATGTTTTGGAAAAAGAAGGATAAAGAAAGCAAAGCCTCATCAGCTTCCTCATCAACCAATCCTTTTGACGAACCTACAACACAACAATCCTCTTCATCCTTGTACTCAAACACAAGTGGCACCAGCAATACCAGTGGTCAACCTTACTCTGGCAATGGCGGCAGTCGATACAACAACACTACCACTAATGATTACAGTACTAACAATGGACGATATGGAAACAATAGAAGTTATGAACAAAACCGTGATGATCTCTTTGCTGGTAGTAGTCCTCGACGCTCTCCTTCTCAACAATACGACTCTCAAGGTCAAGACGATGCCTACGGTCGAAGCACGAAAAGTCGATATGGTGAAGATGAAGAAGAAGATCAAGAAGTTGGTGGACTCAAGAAACAAATCCGGGATGTGAAGCAAGAATCTTTACAAAGTACTCGCAATGCTCTTCAAAAAATTACTGAAGCTGAGCAAAGTGCCGCACAATCCATGAATCAACTTGGGACTCAATCAAGTAAGTCAAAGCCATCCAATCTATAGATAAAGTCATTGTCAAACTGATACTAATAACCTTTTTTTTTCATATATATATCTGCCTATATAGCACAAATTGCCAATGTGAATCGTAACATTGATTTAGCCAAGGCACATTCAGACCGTGCATCGTCTCAGGCGGATGAGCTCAAACAACTCAACCGATCTATTTTTATCCCAGTGGTGAAGAATCCTTTCAACAAGAATGCTCGACACCGACGTGAAATCGAACGACTCCAAGCTGACCAATCTGAGCACATGAATGAACGGGATGATATTCGCAAGTTTGAACACGACTCTAACGCCCGGATTGACCAAGCCAACCGTCGCAATGACCAAGTCTCTTCCAATCATGGCTATCGCCGTGGCCGCTCGGAAGCTGATCGTCGTCGGTACCAATTTGAAGCGGATGAAGAAGATGATGCTGTAGAAGATGAAATCGATTCAAACTTGGACTTACTGGGTGGCGCAACCGCACGATTAAAGAATATGGCCATGACAATGAACGACGAATTGGACAGTCAAAACAAACATTTAGGGAAACTCAACAAAAAGGTCGATCCTATCAGTCAGAAACTTGTGGCAACGACCCATACTTTGAACAGCACTCGTTAGTGATTTTAGTATACAAGGATTCAAGGATCGCAGTTTAGCCTTTAGTCTTAGTTTACTTGGAAGGGGGGTTTTTTTTTTATTATTATTATTTCACATTATCCATTCATTTTGAATAAAGTCTTACCGATATTATTTTTTTATCATTCGCATTATTACTACTCTTATTGACTATCAATTAAATAAAAAAGGATTTAATGATTATAAAATCATTATTATTATTACTATTATTACTGGTTAGTGAATGTTGTTTGTTTGCTGAATAAACGCTATTGATGCTATTATCATATGCCTGTAGCTATTGCAACGGTGTGGTTACATGAAAAAAACAGGGGTTGCCAAAAAGTGATTGTTGATCAAATGTTTAGGACTACCATTAATGGAAATAAAAGATCTCCACGTCATGAGTGAGTTATTCTTTTGACTTAAAAAGAAGTTTGTCTGTTTGTGGTATTAGATGGATATTTGAAAGGATAGAAGTCCATATACTGGATGATAGTCGAAAATATTTTAATAGGATATTCCTGAAGGTCACCAAAAAAAAAAAAAAAAAAAAAAAAAAAACTTTCTTTGATAGGCTCATCTGTGTGCAAAGCAGTAGTACTGCATTCATATTTGAAAATATTTACAATATACACATAGAATGCAGTCAATTTTTTTCATTAACCACAATTCGAATAACTCCCATAAGTCCATCGAATATATATATATATATTTGAACATCATAAATACATGTAAAACAAAGAAAACAGTCGAACCACACGTGACTTTGACAAAGAACCTCATATATGTTCTTTTAAAATTCGGATCGTAGAAGCCACCTTAGCTCAGTTGGTAGAGCGCGCGCCTTGTAAGCGTGAGGCCAGCGGTTCGACTCCGTTAGGTGGCATTTCCTTTTGCATCTTGTCTTCCAGAATACGACATCGGTGTTTATTTTGTATTTTGGCACTCTTTGCCGCTTGTTTTTTGTTGTTAGATGGTGTTACTGCTATTTTTTGGGTCGAAGCAGTGAGCCAAAACTTATGTTTTGTAGGTTTTCATATATTAATTTCGTCCACGATTAAATGGATCTTGTATGAATCCGAAAAAAAGTGGTACCTGAAAATCAATTCATGCAAGATTTCAATTCCCTATCTCAGTAACTTCCGTTTTTTTCTCTTTTTGTTTAGGGGAATTAAAACATATGAGAAAGATAACAATATCATAGTAAAATGACACGACATATTTTATTCAAGCGTGGAAATAAACAATGGCGACTGATACTACGCTAGTCTGATGATAGTGTTATGGAACCAACGTAAACGGGAAACGATTTGAAATGGTGGAGGTGGTGTGATTCTCATTGCGGAATAACATAACGTGCGACAAACTGATATTATAAAGAGGGTACACTATTCTACAGTGCAATAAAAATAAGGAAATCACTGATGATATTACATTGATGATGCTACATAGTGTTGACTGTTGTAAAAAAAGAAGAAGCAAAAAAAAAAAAATAGCAATTTTCCTTTTTTGTAGTGTACAAATGAAAACCCAAACCCATTCTTCCCAACCACGACTACACGAATTTCAAATTCCGCACTTGTAACTATTTATCCGCCTGCAATTTTTATTTTTTCGCTCTTTCTTTCTTCCATTTTCATTTTTTCTTCACCATTCAAATTCTACGGGGTTATGTTGGACTTAGATTAGTGTCAGGACTAGTTTAGAAGCGTTTTCAGCTCAGGGATTACAACATGCATGGGGAAACCCTTTCATTTTGGATTCAAGATTTGGGACCTGCCATTAGTTGGCTTTTTGGAGCCTTCATTAGCTTAGTTTAGTTTTAGGTCGTCCATAGCTTGCCTTTCAACTGAATAAAATATGTCTATTTTTACATACTTTAATAAAAAATATCCCATTAGTGTCTTTCATGTTTTGTGCAATAGATCCCTTTTATAGTTGCAACACCCTGTTAAATAGCGTTGACCGTTGCTGTGCTACAATATAACACATTTCTTCAATCTTTCTCATACACTGTACAGTATCATGCAATATATTCGATCCATTCCTACAATTGCTTCTTTACATTGTGTCGCTCTTTCTCCAAATCTCACATCAGTCTCTCTCATCCTGCGTCCAGTAGATCCTTTCACTCAATCCCTCGTCTTTAGTTTTAGTATCTACCAGCATTCCTCAATAAAATGTACCTTTTATTAAAAAATTTCCAACCCACTGGGAGTGAAAATTATATCGCTATTGTAACCGTTTTGTGAATGTGTTAAAGAATACCAGCTTTATAAATTGCTAGTCTCAGTTTTCTCCTAGTGCCTCAGCTTCTTTTTAGTATAAAATGTAGGTACTTTCCAGTCTGATCAATTGTATCGGTAAAATCATTGTTTAACGGATGAAGGTAGTCGGCGATTTCGATCCTTATGATTATTTACCCTTCTATGGGCTCTGGTGGCTCGTTCACAAATCAAAAGCTCATTTATTTTGACAAGTGACTATATTCCTATTCTATCATTTATATTAGTAAACCTACACCATATCGTCAGCATAGATTTCCCCCCAAAAAAAATTGATAGTTCCCACCAAAATAGACATATTGTATCTATCCATTGTGTGTTGTATAATAAGCTTTAGCTAATAGAACCCCGGTGCACCCTAGGGGTGCTGGCCACCAAAGTGCAACACGGTGGAGGGATCATACCCATCCTTTTTATTTTTATTCCTATGTACACACAATAAAGCTAATATTCTGAAAGTTAAGTACAAGGTACCACAAAAAAAAAAAGGAAAAGAAAAAGAAACCTGAGTCATTTTGACTTTAACAGTATTGTACATACTATACTGTACTTCTGAATTTACCCTCCTGATTTCACACGCGAATGGACGAGGAAAAAAGGAAACTTACTGCTGGTTATCATTTCACACTTCTAATATTATTCACATATATACCCATAGTCATGGCACTATTCTCCATCGTTGAGTGAAGTCCCTTGCGATTTTTTCCCCTACACACACTGAGAGGCACCGAGTTTATACTCGAGCCTTTACTTTTGTGCACACACCCATATATACATTCAATATGACAAAGTAAGCGTGAGATAGAAATTAATGGTAAAAGACAAGATGTATTTTATTTGCAGGTATGTATAAACTATGATAAAAAATCATTAAACTAAACTAATGACGGCTCCAAGTCACCAAGATAAGGTAGCAAGCAAATCACGAATCCAAAATGAAAAGGTTTCCCCATGATATTTGTATTGCATTTTTCAAAATGCCCCTGATTCAAGTTCTAACACTAATCCAAGATCACCATCATCTCATTGAAGATGATATCCTGAAAAAAAAAGAAAAAAGAAAAAAGAAAGGAAAAATAAAGAAAAACAAGAAACGATGTAAGTCGGTATTTAAAATCCATAGCATTTTTATTTTTCAGATTATTATAATGCACGTAAAAAAAAAAGGGGGAGACGATACTATACATATCAATTCTATACTACAGGTTGACTCTTTTGTTCTAGCAAGTGTCTGATGGCCATAGGTCGATAATATTCCAAATCAGGTACCTTGAGATCCACCACCTTGGCCGCGTCATCCCATTGGCGAATTTGCACCTTGATTTTATATAAAGGGTCCTTCTCGAAATCATCTACTTGTTCCTGAGTAAATGGGCCACCCTAATAATAAGCAATTATCATGATCATATTAGTCCTTGTTTGTTTTCTTCATTGGGAACCACAGCGACTTACTTGGTATTTAAGGGAAAGTTTACTAGCACCACTAAGACTTTCATAATATTCAGGGTACTTTGCAGTTAGATAGCGCTTGACAGGCACATGTGATTCCACGAGAGCCGCCACTTTTTCAGAGAAGCCCAGTTGGCGCAAATAGACAGCACCGATGCGTTCATGACCTGTGACGCCGACGCTGATTTGCTTGGTACCATCAACAGCACCAGGATCCAATTCATTTAAGGCGGAAGCATCACATATCATTTGCTTTTGATTTGGAGATGTAGTAAATTGACCAATGTCGTGTAGTAAGGCTGCCAAAATTGTTTCTTCATCAGCTCCTATGGATATATAACAGGAAAATTAAATAATCGTCAATGATGCTTTCCTATTTTTTCTCCTCTTCTATGCTATACTGTACCTGCATCTAGAGCTTGGCTTGCTGCTTGTAAACAATGTTCAAGTTGAGAAATTCTTTCTCCAATATAATCTTGTTTACTTCCGTCTATCAGCACCTTGAAGATGGTGTCGACAATTTGATCACACTTTTCGGCAGTCATTTTAGATGGTGGATATTACAGTGGGAAGAAAAGTAAACAAGAAAAAAATCCGGTATAAATAAGAAGGAAGTGAGATCAGAAGAGGAGTTTGAGGAAATTAAAAAAAATAAAAAAAAATATACCCAGGTTTAGCATAAAAGTGAACCACCGGATTTTCGGTCCACCGCCCTCTCGGCCGTAACTTTAATTTCATGACGTTTAGCCAATAGACGGTCAGCTGATAAGCATGTTTGAACGTTAATGGTGATAAAAAATTGACTAGTTTATCAGCACGTGCGATAATAGTGATATCGATGCTCAAAGTGTATTACAAAATTATCCTTATTCGGGATACATAGAGTAATAAAAAAAAAATAACACTTGGGCCAGATTTACGGACTGATATTGTTGTGACTCCATCGGCCCTTATACATCGGCGTTTTAAAAAATGTGATCTTCTGGCATAGACGTATAAAAAGCGCGCCTTTTTCATATTTTTATTTTCGACCTTTTTTAAACTACCAATTTCTATTTTTTGTCTCCTCCATAAAAAAAAAATCACAATGGTATCAACTGAAAACAACTTTACTGCCTATCCATTGACTTCTGAACAACTCCAAAGTTACCATGATCAAGGTTTCCTACTGATTGAAGATTTTTACACTCCTGAAGAACATGCCACACTCGAACAATACTGTGAAGAATTCAAGCTCTGGGGTCATGAAAAGGGAAAATGGATGCAGTATTATGAAACAAATAAAGCCAACAACCAAGAACAACTTTGTCGTACGGAGAACTTTACACCTTACCATCCTGGAATGAATGCCTATGTCCGAAGCCCTCGTCTCATGAAAGTCCTTGAAGAACTCCACGGTGAAGAATATATCTTGTTTAAGGAAAAGGTCAACTATAAGCTACCTGGTGGTGGAGGTAAGTGTTTAACTTGCTTCTTTTTTTCTTATTTTATTTTATCTTGACAAAATACACTTATATATATGATATATATATTAATGATATCCACTCTCTGTCACTTTTCTTTTAGGTTTCCCTGCTCACCAAGACGCGCCTGCATTTACTCAATTCGGCCAATCCTCACACATGACCGTTATGTTTACTGTTGATCCTACTACCAATGAAAATGGTTGCCTTGAAGTTGTCCCTGCCTCCCATAAAAACAGTTATGAACGTGGCATTCTCCCTCAAAAAAAATCGGATGGATCTATAGCCCAAGAATGGTGTGACCAAAATCAATGGATGCCTGTTCATTGTAGACCCGTAAGTCGTCTTATTTTGCTGTTATTTGCGCCCCTCCTATTTTTTTGATTTATTTATTTATTTTTCTGTTATAAAAAAAAAATATAGGGATCCGTGCTGATTTTCGGGGCCTACCTTGCCCATCGATCTGGTGACAATAAGACAACAGAGCCACGAAGGGCGGTTTACCTGACTTACAATGCCGCCAAAGAAGGGGACTTCCGTGATCGTTATTATGAAGATAAGCGTGAATTATTCCCACCAGCATATGAGCGTGTAGAAGGAAAGGATTATAGTAAGTGAAGGAAGGATAGAGTTTGGGAAAAAAAATGGCTTTAGGTGATAAGAAGCGACTAACACAAACCCGGTTTTTT